CTGTGTCTCTCTGTGTCTCTCTGTGTCTCTCTGTGTCTCTCTGTGTCTCTCTGTGTCTCTCTGTGTCTCTCTGTGTCGCTCTGTGTCTCTCTGTGTCTCTCTGTGTCTCTCTGTGTCTCTCTGTGTCTCCCTGTGTCTCTCTGTGTCTCTCTGTGTCTCTCTGTGTCTCTCTGTGTCTCTCTGTGTCTCTCTGTGTCTCTCTGTGTCTCTCTGTGTCTCTCTGTGTCTCTCTGTGGCTCTCTGTGGCTCTCTGTGTCTCTCTGTCTCTCTGTGTCTCTCTGTGTCTCTCTGTGTCTCTCTGTGTCTCTCTGTGTCTCTCTGTGTCTCTCTGTGTCTCTCTGTGTGTCTCTGTGTGTCTCTGTGTGTCTCTGTGTGTCTCTGTGTGTCTCTGTGTGTCTCTGTGTGTCTCTGTGTGTCTCTGTGTGTCTCTATGTGTCTCTGTGTGTCTCTGTGTGTCTCTGTGTGTCTCTGTGTGTCTCTGTGTGTCTCTGTGTGTCTCTGTGTGTCTCTGTGTGTCTCTGTGTGTCTCTGTGTGTCTGTGTGTGTCTCTGTGTGTCTCTGTGTGTCTCTGTGTGTCTCTGTGTGTCTCTGTGTGTCTCTGTGTGTGTGTGCGTGCATCCAATGGCATAGCAAGTTGGTCGACATTCAAAAGAGTGCCGGATGCCTGCAACATGAGAGACTAACCAGCTCACAAGGGCTAGCCCCAAATTCTCCCAATCTTGCGGCAAGGGAAAGAAGGGCATTCATGTTGGGGAAGGGAAGAGCCTAGCCATGGACCTATGGAGGGCTTCAGCCGTTTACGTGACTTGCTCCTGTGACTGGGCCGCCGCCACCATCAGGGAGGGTAGCCATCGTGACTCTCTGGAATCCGTCAGCATGCCTTGGTATCACATTCCCTGCCACTGCCACTGGGTTGAACGAAATCGGTGTTGATGTGGATGTCTGACCTGTCAAAGTACAGCCTTTCACACTCCAAATGAACATCGAGGCTCAGATCACGTCGTGGGCATCCACAAGCTCCTGCAGCTTTGCCTCGAAGGCAGCCGAAGTGACACAGGGAAGGCTCATGCTGAGGGCTGCCAAGCTTCGATGTTGCTGCGCAGGCCTTCTGCGGATTGATGCGGGTGCCCTGGCATTGGAATGTCAAGCACCACCTCGGCAAAATCTATCAACACACACCTAAAACTGACCAAGCTATGTCCTCGCTCATGCAAAGCAAGCGCAGTGCCAGGTCTGCTTTCAGGCTGACCCGCTTGTCCGTCATCCCTATGCCATCCGAGGCGCGTCCGCCACCTCTGCATCCGGAAGAATGGCCTCCACAGCTTCTCGGGCGGCAGTCGCCTGGCAGGTGCGGCAGGGCTGACAGATGCGGGGCATTCTGCGCGGTTGGTCCGTGGAGTGTCAGTAGCAGCAGGGCGGATGTGGTTCCGCCTGTTTTTAAAGGACCCCCCCGCCCTTTTAGTGGTTTTACGGGGAAACCAACCGGACAACCACCATTTCGGGGGGTCTCCTAGAAAAAGACGCACCCACGTAATAACAATAATAATAATAATAATAATAATAATAATAATAATAATAATAATAATAATAATCATAATAATAATAATAAAACTCTTGCTCTGGCTTCAGCCACTGGCCTTCTTGCGGCCTTCGGCTGCATCCTTGTGGGTGAAGAGGCTCTGACGGACCGGGTTCGAGAAGGACACCTCGTGCGCACGTTCACGCGGCTCGGATGCGGACATAAGAGGCCAGCCTCAAGAAACACACTCACACACACACAGACCTTGAAACCTCAGCCTAACACGCCCACTTGAAAGACAGCAGAGACCAGGTCGGCAGCTCTTTCACTCTTGCAATTCCAGCCTTCCCGCCATCCACAAAGGTCATGTGCCTGAATCCAAGGACGCACGTTACGCCATGCATCAGAATCGCCTCTTCACAAACAAGTCGTTCAAACAACATGCCGACATGCCCCTGGAACCGCAAGTGGGTGTGTCTTCTGTTGAGGCAGCCCCAAATGGGGAAGGGCCGAGATCCTCCAGCCCCGCCTGCAGCCCCAGCCCATGAGGGCCCTGGCCACGCCGCAGCCCAGGGTCCCCGAGCCCAGCAGCAGCACCCGGAGGTCCTGTCGCGAAAATCGTTACCAGTCAAATGGGTTGTGTCAACTTGAGCACTCGCAGAACACTTCCATGAGGTGTAGCAAGCTTGACTTCCATGCTTGAGGGAATCTCGCAACTCTTTTGGGATACGGTCAGCCTTCATTTTCTCTGGCTCCAAAGCTGGCAGCACGCGCCACTTCATGAGCTTGATGTTCAGGTCAACGGCATTGGCCTCAAGGCTCACGAAAAGAGGCGCGCCTTTCCTACGTGTCCTTGAGACCTGCGTGCGCAACCAAGGCACTGTGGGATGTCCGATTTTGCATTCAGGGTTCCACTCGTGTCCCCTTTGAACATCACTTCAAATTTGTCCACATGTTGATGTTTTGACTACTGAAGAACGGCAAATACAAGGACGCGTGAAGCTGTTTCTGCCCATAGAGCGGCTGCTCCACATTGCATGCAAGTTGTAAAAATGGGCCGCCGAATTAGCTCAGTTGCGTCTGCATGGCATAGGGGCATGGAAGATGGTATGGGACAGGCCGTGGAACAACGCATGTTAGATTTTCTTGCAGAACCAATGAAATGATACTACCACACATGGGAATATACAATAGGACACCGTATACGTTTAACCTCAGGGAACGGGATTTTTACGAGGCATTTGTTCCCTCCGGCTTGGATCAGTCCATTCCCATGTGGCAAGGAGCCGCAACCGTCTTGGAGTCCATGAACCGCGTCAAGTCCATGGTCGCTATCTTCCTGAGTCCAGTCAATGTTGCAGAAATGCATCTTGGCACAGGGCAATGCAAAGCCTACAACTTCAGCACTCACTCTCCGTGGTGACAAACGATGCTCTAACGAAGGCCCTCGCTAGTCACTGTCTGTATGTCGCCAAGCAAAGGATTTCACCCAGCACATCCCCAGGGAGTGTCATACCGAGAGACTGACCAATGCAATGGCGTGCTGTCTTGTTGCCGTTTTTTGCGGCTTTGCGCTTCGCAAAAGCAAAAGCCAAGGATAGATGATGCGCGAACTGCTGGTCAACCGAGGACGTGGCCGACCCCCCCCCAAAAAAAAAGAAAGAGAGCACACCTTCAGGGAGACTCTCCGAGTTTCGACCAGCCAGCGCGGCAGTCGCTGGCGCTGGCGGCCTCCGGCGGAACCTCAAAGGTGAGGAGCTGGGACCGGAGCGGGCCTGGCCACCGGGGTCCGAGTTTTACGTGGTTGGACCCTTGGTTGGATATCCCTCTTATGATTTACATGAGGATTTAGGGCCACCCACCATTTGGGCCTTGGGAAAATTCTCGGTCAATTGGGTATGTCCAATTTTGGACTGATTCTGTGTTTGAAGCCACCTGTTTGGAGGCTCCCCTATTTAGAGACAAGCCCAGCTAGGGTGGCCTAAGCAAAGCTGGTATCACAGGCTTAAAGGGCTACTTTTGCGTGCGCCTGAGGAGTCTACCTGAAAGTTACATAAGAAATTGCAAGGGTGGCTCACTGCTGTCTCTTACACCTTCTGTTCACCACTCTTTGATGTTGGCTCAAGTCCTTGTCAACATGTTAATGACAGTCCCTTGCAAGAAGTCTGATGACTGTTCCATAGACTCCCATGCACAATAGGGTAATACTAGTAACATCTAAGAATCTACTCGCTTCATGGGTGGATGGCAATCTGGCAATCTGGATTCCGGCCACGGACTCCGCATCCGACGCGGCCCCGCCTGAGCTATAGCCTTGACCTCCGAGCTGGGGATCTCCTGGGCTAAGGCCCATGCGCCAAAATGACCCCTGAGCGCTGAACCGGACTCAAGAGGATGCTCCAAGCCCCGAAATGTTTGACGTTGCCCATCTCTACCATGTCTCATGTCCAGCCTCTATCTGCAAAAGCACACACCATAAGCTGAGCCATCTCCGCAATCTGGCCGCACTTCACAAAATTAGCCACCCTCTCAAATGTGGTTCTTGGCTTGATCTCGGCCAACACCGGTCCCACATTTCCACATCGCCGGGCTGCGGAAGGCTAAGATACGCCGCTTCCCGGGGCGGTACTTGGCAAGAAGCACCAGGGCGTTCTGCAGCGGCCAGCCGGGCGCCTCCTGAGCTGGGCTCAAATTGCGCCTCCCCTGGCTCGCAAGCGCTCCACCAGTTTTTTCGGTCCTCGGAGGATGGATCGACAAAGACGGTGATGAGGTCCTCCTCGGAATCCACCTGCCCCACATCCAATTGCAAGCTTGTCGGCTTGATGGAGCCACGAACATTGTCATGCACCCCCCCAAAGAGTTCAGGAGAAATTCGAAATTAGCATGGTTCCTTGTCTTTGGAGGAATGGGAGGGTGGTCCCCCCAAGCGTCTCAGGTCACAGTATCCATGCCTGGACCGAGGGCAGCTCGGCCAGTGGCCGCAGGGACCAGCCGGAGCCCCGCACAAGCAGGCACAGTCCCCCAAAGTCCTGCTCGCCTGAGGTGCGAGCATTCAACTACCCCTGCCACGCTACCCCGTTCACACATCCCTTAAATGACCCCGACAGGCTCGCCGTTGCCCGCTCCTGAAAAGGGGCAAACATACATTCATTCCAACATAGGTGGTATCCAGAGGGGTCACTCTTCTGCCTTAAAGGGTGAAACTCACAACGAAGCTTTGCACCAATGAGGGCAGTGAAGTGTTTCCTGTGCATCAAGCATGGGCCAATCACACTGCTGACCCAAATTAGCTGGAAGAGTGGCCTTAGCTTTGACGGAGTTGCCTTCCTTTCCTTTTTGAGGGTCCAACAAGTCGACAATACTACCAGGGAACCTGAAAGGATGTCTCTTTGAAAGCAAAGTTGTCTTTGGCGAAACTGCCCACTGCAGGACCAATGAAGACACAGAATACCTATCTATCGCTGTTTTGCAAGCCCGGCTGCCAATCACCTTTTGTTGCAAGAAGTGCACATCGGTTGATGTGTTCAACTCTGGCGCCCTTGGCCCAAGTTCTCACTTTCATCTTTGGGCAAGATTCTGCCAGACACACTGCCCCAGTTGAGTGACCCGAACGGCAGCAGAAGGGTCTTGCTTTGGCATTTGGCGCGAGAGCGTAATATGAAAGGGCGATCCCTTTTGGGTTGACGATTGATTCCCAGAACATCAACCTTTGGTCTTTTAGGGTCGACCTTTGTTTGGGTTGACGATTTTGCCAGGGCATCGACCTTTGTTGCAGGGTCGACCGTTGTTTTGGCTTTGGGATTGACCTTTCTTTGGCGGCTGGGTGCAGTGTCGACCTTTGTTTGGGGTCGACCTTGTCTTGTCGACCATTGCATCCTGGCCATGGCTCAGAATCAAACCACCAGGAATCAGGAATCGGACGGCAGGTCAAGCATGTCCCTTCCATTTACCAACGGAACCCATTTTAGGGGTTGCCTAACTTCTTGGCTCAGCCACACCCAGCCACGCCCAAGCGACCCCGGCGCCCCGCTTGCGCCGAAGCGGCGCAGGCCCTTGGCCACGGCCGCCACCTGCTCCCGGTCGGCCGCCTGGCGGCTCACCGGCGCCCAGGGGGAGCCCCGCAGCGCCGGCAGCGTGAGGAGGTAGGAGAAGTGGAACCTAAACCAAAGCGAGGAAAAGGCGGGAACTCTTTTGCTCCAAGATGTGTGTTCCAAAAGAGTTGTTTGCTCCAAGGATGCTTGTTCCAAGATTCTAAGATGTTGGCTCAAAGTGCAGAGTATATCTTTCATTGTTGAGATGGGCGGTTGCGCGAAGTGAACACTGTGTAAAGAATATCATGCAATATGTGCTGGATTGCCGAGGTCGGGCAAACATCTCGCTGTATACAAATACCTATGCGGATATGGCACCTTCTTGGTTGAGAACAACGCGCACTTGCCCAACTGGTGGAGGTGGCATCATGGCTGCCTGTTTGTCCTTCCTTTGTCGTCGGTGCAGGAAAAGAAGCATACAGCTGGGTTAGCAACTTGCTGTAACAGCTTGCATGCAGAGCGCTGAACAGTCAGCCGAGCTGCTTCTTGAGGTCTGCGAAGGTACAAAGCATCAGCCGCCTGCGGGCAGCAAAAGCCGTGGCTTTCAAACATCTGTAGGCTCAAACCATGCTTTCCACAATCTTCAGATTTGCCTGCCTGAGCTTGGAAGGATCCTGCAGCGCTGCGCCAGAAGCGATGTCACTGCAAATCTGATTGACAGCCTGCAGGGTATGTGATAGTCTGAAAAACTCTGACAGCGTTGTGCTTCACTTCAGCGGTTTGGTATTGCTCTGTGTTTGTGCTGGTCGAGCTGTTTTCATCGTTGAACCCTCCCCACCTCGGCCAAAGAGGCTTGCCTGGCTTCGGCATTCCCCAGAAAGGTACGAAACTCCTCCTCAGTGTTGAAGTTTTTCCTCGGATTTAGCACGTAAAATATCCATCTGCAAGCAAACCATGCGATGCCGCAGTGGTCACACTGGCAAACGACGCTGGTGTGCTTTGATTCTGGCTGGCACCACCTCTATGCCATGATCTCTGCCGCCAATCCGCAGCTCCCCAAGAACTTTGGCCGCTCCAGAGGGCGCAGGTCCGCACTCAAAGGCATCCTTCTGCAGGAAGCACTTTGCAGGGACGCCGCTGGCCTGGCAAAGGCTGAAGCCAGCCGATGAGATGCAATTGATGGTTTGTCACCGCAACTTGACTGAGAGGTGCAACTCGGATTCCCAGAAACGCACCCCCCGCCTGCGAGGCCTCGTAGTAAGCTGTCAACGGCACGTTTGAGGAATCCAAGCCTGGGCCAACCCAATCCGCGAGTCGTGAACACGAACGGACTGGCATTTCCAATGAAGACACAGCTTCCCCATTTTGAGCAATTCCCGTCTCACTACTGCGAACCAAGTGGTCGAGAATTCGGCTACGTCTAGTGCTGCGGATGGAAGGCCCAGGATCCCTCGCTGCACTTTCTGTCACCGGCAGCTCCCATGTCGCCCAACTCGTACCGTTCTCAGAAGCTCACCGTTTGTGTTGCTGCGAGGTTGAGTCGACCCTTGGGCACGCCTCTGCATCTGACATTCACATCACCCTCCTCACCCCTCAAAAGATTCACTTTGTCTCGACCCATTCAAGTTTTAAGCAATAAATGCTGATGGACAAAAACACCTGGCCCTTTTCAACATGGAAACTCTCTGGGACAAACCACCAACTGGTTGCGGATAGCTGGGCTTCTGGCGCCAGAGGTCCAGCTTCCGGCGGCTCAGCTCCTGCCAGAACCCCACCTCTGGCGCGCCCAGCAGGGGCTCGAAGTCCTGACGACGCGCTCTTGGTTTGACGTTCGTTTGGGTCCGTCTCAAAATCGGTTCGCTTGGTCAATGGGGAGAATGGGGGATGTTTTTGGCGCATCTTGCAAGACGAGCATCTTGAGACCTTGAGTGCCGGGTTGTTTTGACGGAGAAGCCAACAGGAAACCTGTTCGAGGTATTTCTTCGATGGGGCGATGACTATTCGGGACAGGCTCTCTGCTTTGCACCATCTTTTCTGAGGGCCATCAGTATGACTCCCGGCCGCATCTGCGCACGTTTCGGCTGGACCGCGACAGGAGTCTGCCCCACTGTTCAACCAAATGAGAGGTAGACTGCACAACAGGCGGATTCCCAGTAACTCGGTCAATGGACTACCAGTACATCTGCCAATTCCTCATATCAAGAGGGACAGCAGAAGTCCTTGGCAGTAGGCGGCTTCTGCGCCATTGCCGAAGGAGCACTCTGCAGCTTGCGACTCGCTTCATAGTGTCCAACTCCTTTGTGCGTGTCTTGTTTGTCCATGTCTGTGTGGCTTGCATTTCAATGTTGAAAGTACAAATTAGAAGGGTGCTGCTCCGAAAGTCTTCCAATGCGCTAGCTGCTATTCACTTTTTGCCATAGATATCTTAGATGAGCGTGTTCATATCTTCTTTTCAGTTGCTTGAGGTCGCCCACAAGTTTTGTTGCGCCGGAGCACCAAACGGGACGCAGTCGCGGTGTGCTCGATTCATTTTCTGGCTCGCTGTGCGCGCAGCACTTCTCATCGAGCCCACAGGCCTTCAAGCACACTTGGAGCTGTCTTGGAGCGTGTGCTCTGTGCAAAACCCTATCACTTCAGCAACTTGCCCGGAAGATCCCGGCCCGTCAGGCCTGCCTGCCGCACGGCTGGCATCGACAAGTCATTCACAAAGAGATTGACGGCCTCCAAGATCAATGTGCTCTGCCATGATCAGCGGAGGACCCTTGAAAATGCTCCCCTGTGCAAAGACTGAAACTTTGCCCCCTTGGCCTTTTGGGTGCGTAGCGCAGAGACCGGCAGCCACTCGCCTCAGCTTGGCTCTGCAACCTCTCGCCACTGCCAAGCAAAGTTCAAAACGACCACCACAAATTTGATGATCCAAGCTTCTGGTTGCTGTGCGCAACAGCAGAATGCAACCACCTGGCGCAAATATCAGCTGCTGGAGAAGGCCCCCAAAATCTTCAATGGACAGAAGCCAAAGAGCCGCAATCCCAAAGCCAGAGGACCCATCCAATAAAAAAGAGTCCAACACCTACTGGCGCTCGGCAGGGAATGTGGGAATGACCAATGTCTCTTGTGGTTTCCTTCAAGTGGACCCCTGAGTTCATTCCTTCATTCCCTACTGAGCACCAGCAACAAGGGCAAGTCCAAAAAGCTGGGGGATGAGCTTAGGCTTAGGTCGGCCACTCGTCCGTCCGCCTGGGCTGAGAGCCTCCAGCCCCGCGCTCCCTGGTGAACGCAGCACCGCCACCGCCGCGTCGCGGCGGCTCAGCAGGAGCTGTGCGTCTGCCGGGTCCTGGAAGACGACACAGCATGGGTGTCCAAGACAGGCGGTTTGCTTTTGGAATCCCTTCAAAAAGAACTTCAAAAGAGGGGGGTACCCTAAAAATGTGTGTAAATAAATATATATATATATATATCTATATCTATATCTATATCTATATCTATACCCACACACACACACGTGGCAAAAGGCAAGGCTGGGGGTAGGGGTAGGGGTAAGGGTAAGGGTCGGGACTCTAAGGGTAGTAGGGGTAGGGATGAGGGGTAGTAGGGGTGGGGGCTCTAAGGGTAGTAGGGGCAGGGGTAGGGGTAGTAGGGGTAGGGGTAGTGGTAGGGTAGGGGCAGGTAGGTATGCAGTTGCTTGTGGAGTGTATGGGACCAACAAAATCCTGGGCGGAGGCAACCTACAGGTCCAACGACGCGTTCTTTGCCTGGTGTTCAACCATCTCCAGACATGCCTCACGCGTCACAGTGGCCACCTTCATATTGCACACATCTGAGTCATACCCCCCGAATATACAGCGCTTGCTTGCCCTGGCAGGCTGTCTCCTACAAACCTCTAAGTAAACAAGGTTCTGCCTGTGACTTGGTGCTCCTCGAGCTTAACAACCCGCCGCCCAACGTACGGCAGCACCAGCTCCAGCGCTTCTTGAGCAAACCTGCGGAGAGTCAACCCAGCGGCAACCAGAGGCTCGAGATGCACAACAAGAGAACCATCTCTTTTTGGGGTTAACCACTCTTTGGGGAACCAACCAAAAGGAAAGGAGCAAGGGTACCACTAAACAACAGGGGTTCAAGTCAATGATGCTTGACATCCTCACTAGGCTGTCCCTTCAACAAAACCCAAAGTCAGGTGCTGAAGCCAAACTTGCCCACCCCTCAGTGAGGGCCGGGTGGGCCAGAAGCTCATTCAATCGCAGCTCGTGGAGTCAGCAGCACCAACTTTGAACAAACAAAACAACATCAGGGGCCGGAAATCCCATGGCTGCAATGGTTGTAATACGCTACTATTCGAAGCACTAACAGGGGATTGGGCGTTAACATCTCCTTAAATCCTCGAGCGTTTCAACCAACAGCAAGTACACCTGCTCCCACCAGCAAATCTGCAAGTCACCCCGCTCTGGTTGGAAGAGAGTCGCACTTCAGGCGAATTCGACAAGCACAAATTTCGATAAATGCCACAAACAGATTCCAAACTCCTTCTCACCTTCACTGTCGGTTCATGCAGTAAGGGAAGCTTATGGCCGCTCTTGAGATGGGAATTGCCAGGGCGCAAATTGCACACTGCAGTTCCCAACTGCGAATCCTGCCGAACCCCCCCCCCCCCACAGATATTATCCCAAGCACCGTCACGTGTCTGACACACGCCCGCGCCTGAAATGCGTGGAGCGCGCGGGCACCTCGAAGCGATCCTTTTCGAAGACACGGAGGCCGCCTCGCAGCCGGGATCCAAAGGAGAGTCAGACGCCGGGTTGCCGGTAGTTTGGTGGCTTTAAAGGGAAACCGCAAGGAAACCCCATGTTGAGGTGTTGGAATTCCAAATGGCTTATCCGGGCGGCCAGGCTGCAACCTCCAAACGACCACCGCCGACCAATTTCCGACCACCTTCCGACCACTCTCCGACCCCTCCCGACCACCTCCCGACCACCTCCCGCCCACCTCGCGACCACCTTCCGACCACCTCCCGACCACGCAAGGCCACAGTGACGGGAACAGGCCCAAAATATCCAATTTCGCCGTTCGGGGCTACATTTAAGGAAAAGTGGGGTTGACCTTCCAAATAAGTTTTTTTGGAAATCCAACATGTTGAGGGTCCTCTAACAGAGGCACACCAAAATTATGCCAGGAATCAAAAGGGCAAAAATATCCGCACCTATGGCTGGATGCTTGGAACTGACCCCATGTGCCAGCGCGATGCCGGTGTGGTTACCCGCTATTCCTCTTCTCACCCTCTGGCCTGCAATAACCTTCAGCTTCCTCTTTGCATGACCTCCGGTGCCAAAGCAGAGAATTTCCGCAGCAGACTTGGCCAGCAACAGCAGCTGGTTCGCCTCTCCTTGCCAAAAGGCAGCAAAAAGCACCGCCAGGTGCCCGAACAAGTTTTCACTTGGAAACGCACGAAACCGGCGATGCATGCGTTTCTCGAAAAAGCGACAAAGATGCAACGGCATCGGCGTGTCAATTTGTGGCCGCCTTGGTGTGTCTGCACCAACGCACCATCTGCGCCCAGCTCCAAGTGGTGGCGGCTGAAGAGCAGGGACTCCGGCAACGTCTCGTGGAGGCCATAGGCGCTTCGAAGTGCGGCAGCCTCGCAGCACAAACTCAGCGCCCTTTTGCTGTTTGCAGCGTGGCCGCAGTCCTGGAACTTTGCTCGGGGGTCTCTAGCGATTCGTCGAGCTTGATCCGGCTCTCTCCAAACAATCGCTTGCATTCACCGCAAGCTCCGAGTCTCAAGATCAAGGGGTTCAAGCCGTTTAGGTTAGAAGCATCAAAACGGCTCGATACAATGCCTGGCCTCTCAGCTGTTCAACCGGCCGCGCCTGCTCTGGCATGGCTTCCAGGCTGCAGTACCGGGCCAGCTCACGTGCCAACGACCCTGAGGTCCTGACCCACATGGAAGGTCCAGTGGAAGACACACGAAGAGAAACCAGGTGAGCGCCGTTTTGAGGCTACCTGTTGTCAGCTTGGCTAAATAAAAAGCCAAAGCGAAACCACACAATAGCCAAAGCGAAACCACACAATATGAGGCCCGGATTTAGAGACAAACCACTTCAAACCCGAAAACCAGGGTTCCATACTTGATTACCAAAAGGAGACCCAAATAAGTCTACCTTGGGGGACAATCACAAATAGTTATGAATTTTGATAGGGAAGCTTTCCAAAAGTGGTTGGTGGAAACGAAGCCCCATCCAAATGATGTTCTCGCTGTACTTGAGTCGGTCTCTAAATGAGGCAACATGTTCAACATGGGCAAATTGGTGGCTCCCCGATCTAACAATAATCCACACAAGGGTCCAACCGGGTATCGGGTGTGTCTCAAATGGGGATAAACCTCCTGCATGGGTAGTCAGTCTACATTTAAGCCTTCCCTCAAAAACAACGCCCCCCCCCCCCCCCACATTTTTTCACTGATTCCCTCAAGTCACGGTGCAGCCTACGCATCCGCAAACCGTTTTCCCCCGAGTCCGAGAAAGTGGCAATTCCAACAGCCACGCCCAGCCCAAAACCTGTCCGACGGACCGTCCTGGCCCGCTCGCGCCGCGCCTCCGCCTTGGCGCGCTCCTGCTCGCTGCGGCCTGTTGCCACGGCCTCGGCTCGGTGGGCGCCAGGTCTCGGTTGGGGGTGCCCGAGATTAGGTCGGTCCTTTTTGGGGGCAAAGGGAAACCCACTTGGGGGAAATTTGCCCCAAGAAGCCAATAGGGGGAATGATTTGGATGAAAAGAAGCAGACTCAAGTACAGGCATCCGTGCGAGCATGAAGGTGAAGTTGGGGCCTTTGGTGCTAGTCATTTGCAGGGTTGATACCCCTCCAAACATGTTTGCGGATGTTCGCCCACTATCCGATCGCTCACTGTCCGAGAATCCCCCCATCTTTCGAATGTTTTAGACGCACAAGGAGAAATTATATTAATAACATCTCTATATTTGTTTGCTGACGGGAAAGCATGCCAAGCATGCTTATGGTCTTTGTGTGGCAGCCACAGCCAGCAAAGTTGAGCAGACTCCCACATCAGGGGCGGAGCAGGAGCAAGGACATCTGCTGCTCAAAATCTTCTCCAATGAAGGACATGAGAAAAGGTCAGGCAGGGAGTCCCCCCCCACGTCCCTCCCAAGTTGACCCTCGACGAATCAGCAACCTGCCTCCTCCAGCCGTTCCAGCTGTTTTCGGCGCTCCGCCTCCTCCCCGTCGCTGTCCAGGGCGCTGTCATAGCCTGCGAGTCCCGAGTCGTCGCAATCGGACGCGATTCCGAGCGATTCTGAGCCAAAAGAACCTTGACTAGCGCACTTAACGCTATAGGTACTCTGTGATTGTTGCATGATGCCTGTTCAGAGTACCAGCGATGTGTACTTCTCAGTTTTTGACCGCGGTGGCTCAAGTCGACCTGTGGATGGACAAAACCCTGCACTAGTGGGTAGGTGGCTTAGCTCAATATCCACATAGGGTTTTATCGTCCCGACCGGAACGGGAATTGCTCATCCTCAGCACTACCCCAACGACCTTCAACTTGGGGGTTTGCGGATCTCGTTTTGAATACATGAATTTGCTATGAACGGGTCTTGGCAACAGCCAACTTCTCGAAGATCACCCCGCCCAAGTTGCTCTTGGAGCCATGGCAGCGCATGGCCGGGAGGGTGGCCTTGCAGCCAAGTCGCCCAGTGTTGTGTCAGACTCTCGGCTTGCTTCTGCCACCTTCTCAAGGACCTTGTATGCTCAAAGGGAAAAGTCCCCCTCGCATCCCCTTACTGGCTGGCTTTGTGGAATCCGTTTTGCGCCTTTCGCCGAAGGGAGGGCATCCTTTGGAGCAAGCTCCCAAGGAATCTGTTCAACCGGCCGGCTGGGCGCACTTTCCAGGTGCCATCAAGGCACTGCCACGAAGAAGCCTTGACAGGGCCGAGATTCAGACAGGTACTGCTTGGGCAGCAGAACAAAAACAAGGTTTGGTTTTGGCACAAGGTCTCAAAATGTGCATCTTGAAATGTGTAAAATATTGACATAGAAATATCCCCTACAAGACAAGTCCGGCCATGCACTCACACCGTCAGGGATTCAACCATTGCTCATGTACCTCTGCATTCGCTTGCAAAGCGCCTCCTGTGTCGTTGTGGTGCGGCAGCACCCGGACACACTTCTTGAGCTCGGATCTGAGGGACTCCTCTTCCGGCGGGAAAAAGCCTGCGAGACCATGGAAAGAACCGGGGAAAGACAAGCCAGTTCAGCAAGGAATGCACGATCTAAACCTGTGGTTCCTACATGCTGAATTTCTTGGATGACTTTGTCAAGCCGCCCAAACCCAAGCAGCCTTGCCTACGTCAGCAATTGTTCCGCCAACCCCTGTGAGCCGCGGTCAGAAGGTGTGGTTCCCCAAACGACCTCGCACAAATTGGTGGGTCTCCGCGGTTTTTGCGGGCCCCATGTCCCTCACCTATGGCTCTCGAGCCTGGGAGCAGCTTCTTGGCTCCGGCAGCCTCCGCCTCCGCGAAGCTGCCGAAGAGTCGGCCGCCCACCGCCACCTGGCGACGGGCCAATGGAATTCGGGGGGCTGGGCGGCGAGGGTCGCAAAGCACCTGGCCTTCCAAGTCGGCAGCCCTGGCGCCGTGCGCAGGGCCAGCTGCTCGCGCACATCCACCAGAGCCTGGCCGATACATTCGGCTCACTCATTGAATGGAACTCGAGTATGTGCTTCCTATGTGTTTATTATTATTTTTTTAGAAACGATTTTGTCACCTCTTCACCAGCGAGGCAGCTACGAGTCCGGCCATTTGCTGGCAGTGCTTCCGGGAGAGGACAAAGGCGTGGGCCGGCGGCGCAGGGTCAGCGCCGAGGTCCACCATCGCATCCTTCTCCGAGAAAAAGCCTCTGAGCCTTTGGGAGTGCTCCATCGGTGCCCACATGTCGTCCTTGGTGTAGAGCGCCAGCATCCGCGGGCGGTTTGGGAGCTCCATGATCTCAGCGAACTCCGCAAAGCCTTGGCCTTCGGTCGCTGCATGCAGTCGCCGGCACTCGCTGAGATAGAGGCCCGACATCGCGGGCAAATGATGGGCCTGCTGGAAGAAAGTCTTCAGGGTGACGTCGTACACCAAAGTGCCTGGCTGGCTCTGACTCACTAGGCGCACGGCCAGCTCTTTGAGGCGCCCAGGCAGCCCCGTGGCCACGCGCGCCGCCAGGCGTGCCAGCACAGAGGGCGCCCGCAGCAACGGCTGCAGGCTGAAGGGCCGGTACTCGAGGTACGGCATGGCCAGCACCTTCAGCGGCATCGCCTTCCGCCGCTCCGGCGCCAAGGCCCGGAGGTGCTGCAGCGTGATCCAGGCGCCGATGGAGTGCCCGAAGAGCACCAACCGCTCGTGCGCTCCCTGCAGCTCATCCAGCACCTTGGAGATGGCTGCGGCTTCCTCCTCCAGCGACACAGCTCCGGACGACCGGGCAGCGCCTTTGGCCCGGGTGGGGAAGCCCAGGTAGCCCACGCAGTAGATCGCAGCAGAAACGCCCTGCTCCTGCAGGGCCTGCTGCAACTCCTGGCCGAACTCGCAGTAGTAGTGGGGCACACCCGGGTTCCCGGGCACCACCGCCACCGCCACTTCCGGTTCGCCCTTCGGCTTCAGCGACTTCAGCGCCAGGACTTCCGGGAGCTCCGGATTCGGCTCGCGCCAGGCCCAGCCCTCTGGCGGCTCCGGCCCCTCCGATTGCTCGGCCGCGCACCACATGCCGAAGCGCGCACAGAGTCTCGCGCAAAGACGGGGTGGCTATCTGCATCACTCCAATGGCCAGGATGCATCGGGTCAAGGCCGCAAGGTGTTCACCATCGACTGGACATGTCCGAACCGCAACTAGATCTCCACGGATGTAAGGCGTTCCCCACCAAAATCCAGTCCAGTGGCCCCGAAACTTGCATCTGTGAAGGTTGCCTTTGGGGTTCCAGGAAACCGAGAAACCGAGCGTTCTGGGATCTGGGAGGTTCCCTGCCTTGGGAAACACCCATAAAAATATAATATGCGGCGCTCCAAGTGGGTGGTTGTCCTTCGATTGCCTTTGCACCACATAGGTTCATCCGGTTGATTGTGTTGAAATTAAATACATAAACACATAATATATTGGTCTGTCTTATTGTGAGGGTACGCCTTAGGGTTGGTAGAGCCAAACCCAAAGGCTACCAACTTTGGGAGCTTCCCAAATTTGGGGGACCAACCCAAACAAAAACCGACCAGCACCCCATCCGTCCCGTCCCCGCCAGGCACGGGTTTCCCAGCAGCTCCGCCACCACCGCCTCGTTCTCCACCGGGGAGAAGCTGCAGGTGCCTGGCGCAAAATTGGGTAGGGTGGGGTTTGGGGATTAGGGTTGATGGGCTCTCGAAAACTTTCATGTCAAGTGGCCTTGAAAATGCCAACCAACAAAAAGGGTACCAACCCAGCGCCATGCACAGTGGCATGATACATAGCCAAACAGTAGAAAAATCGTGAACACGAGCCGAAACACCTGCCGCAGTTGTTCTGAGCAAACCAAAACAACTGCCCATTTACAAAGTTGCTCAAAGTTGCAGAAGTGATACACAATGCACGGATTTGGTTACTGTCAACTTCGAAACAGAAACCCACGTCTCGGGTCCCCCAATGGCCCAATCAGAGGTCGAGGCGCTGTACACCATGCGGCCCCCGGTTTTCAGCAAGCGCGCGGCCCGGCGCGCCACGGCCAGCTGCTCCGGGTGCAGCTCGAGGCTGTGTTTGCTCGACCACTCCCGCCACAGGTGTGGTGCCTTCCGCAGAGTGCCGTCCTCCAAAGGCCGGGTGTCGACACGGCGGCACGGCTCGGGACAGCGAGTCTTTGGCTCTGCGTTCGACTGGTTCCCTTGCGATCCCGAGCCTTCTGAAAACAAGGAAGGTGTCCCGAATTTTGGCAATTAGGGACACATTCCCTCAAGCCAACATTGATCCCCAGATCCTCGGTTCCGAACTGCAGGGCGTCGCGTCTTCCAAATGCGGGCCAGGCGCGCTGGAGCACATGACGTCGCACAGGATCCGGTCGAAGCGCACCCCGCGCCCATCGGGCGCCCGGATGCTGGGGAAGAAGCGCGCATCGTGGGAGGTGAACAATGCCAGTGGATACAGCCGCTGGTGCCTGGCCAAAGCTAACTCCCGGAGACGCCCGGCGAAAAATCCAAGGGGCAAATGTCATGGAGAGAATCAAAAGGGAGGGAGAGCCATTTCTGGTTTGGACTGTTCGCAGGCCAAGCGTAGTTGCTGAAACCTATGCTCACGTGCCTGGCAATCTGATGCACCAGCATTCCAGCTCGCTCTGCCGAGATCTCGTTTGCCACAACGCAGCCTTCCTGCAAAGAATAGTCGATGCCTTGGCATCGTTTCAAGCAGCACCAGCTCCAGCACCACCTCCAGCACCAGCACCACCACCAGCGCCACCACCACCACCACTACCACCACCAACAACAACACCACCACATTGCCGCAACCAAGTCACAACACATTGCGCCTCTTCCCACAATCTTCTTTTGGGTGGGGGTCAACTCTGCTTTTCGCCACCTTTCCTCCCCTACTTGCATACAAGACACGGCCCTGCAAGAAGTTGGCGCACTGCTTCACCTCATCGCTGCTGATACTCTCCAATCCCCTGCCCATGGCTCGCACAGAGTTCGGATCGGGCGTGCCTCAAGCGAAGCTACCCATTTCGGGGGGAGCAAACCCTGAGGGTTTCAGGGAAAACAGCTTGTCTGAGCAGCCACTCCCGCCCGGATTGCCCGCAAACGCCCCATCGGCTGAAGAGAGACCCGACCCGCATTCTGCGTGCCTGCCCCACTTCTTGAAGTTTGCCTGGGCTCGGCAATCACACTTCACACTCCGGCAAAACAACAAAAAACAATCGACACCATCTGCAGGCATTCTGCGGTTTTCCAGCGACTGCCTGTGCATAATTATGCCCCCCCCCCAACTAAGCATGGCATCAACCACTTCAAGAACGAGCACATTGGCATTGAGCGCCATCACTTCATGAGCTCGGCTTAGGTCTGCCACTTGAGAAGAAGGAACTGCTTCCGTCTGACATTCTATCTGGTGGCCTCCTTTGACCCGCCGGAAACCTCCTCCAAAGAGCAGCCGGGCACAGGTCTGGGCTCTGTGGCATGCCGAGGGGCATGGGAGAGGCAGCTCAGCATCTGCGCCGTCTTGCTGCCCGGGGAGGCGCAGGTGTCCAGGCACAGGTGCCCCGCCCGGATGTCCAGAAGCGCCACTGGCAGCATGGACACCTGGCACCAAGCTACATCGCCAACCCATGAGAATGCCCTCTCGGATCCCATGCAAAAACGCTTCCTGTAGCAACATCGTCCAAGCGCCCTCTGCGTCAAGTGAAATGCAGAACCAAACAACAACCCACCCCCCCAACCGATGGCCCATGCCTCCTCCATGCGGTTGATGGTGCCCTGAGAGCCGAGATGCAGCAAAGCCACTCGGTGATATGGGTATGGGTCAAAAATTAAAGCACCTGGTTTCCATTCAATGCCGTTTTGGGTACGTATTCTTGACCCACAGCCATATGCAAATCAGCCGATAGCAAAACGGCCCCAGTCCTGCGCGGTGTATTGGATCAGCATCTCATGCAGCGGCTTGAAGCGGCCGTCCTTGCGAAGCAGGACCTTCGGAATGTCCACCTGAGGAACAAAAGCCATCCGGCTTGCCATTGTCTCAAAGACGGCCCAAAATGGCTGGTGTCCGAGTCCTTGTGAGTCAGTCAAACAACCCCAAAAAGGGCTGAAACATGACAGCCATGCAGCCAGCTTGCCCGCCAACCCATGTCTTCCGGCAGCCATGGCAGCGTACGCACGCATGGCCTGCGCGGCTTGGCATCAGCTTGCAGGCTCAAAGTGCACTTCGCTCGCGCCAGGAATTTCAACTGTGACCAAAAAAGCTGCGAATCAGAATGGACGGGAATCCTGCCTTCGGGTATCTGGAGTCAATTTTCAAGCAACCGACTGGACGCTCTGCCTTGAAAACATGTCGTGTTTTGCGAGCTCAACATAACATTGCACTACCTGCAATGTATCCGTACAGAAACCATGACACATTCAAGAACGAACAATTCCTCAGGCATCAACAATAGGTGGCTCCGGAAATCAAAAGCATCCGTGGTTTCGTGGCTCCCTGTTTTTGGGGCCACTCACGCCTCTGGCCATCACCCTCGGAACTCTCGTCGGCGGCGGCAGAGAACCGTCGCAGGGCACCTGGCCGCGACTGGCCGACCGGCAGCGACTGTCCGAAGGTCGCATCTGGTGTCCACTTTGAGCTCATGAATTCTTGCGAGCTTTTAATGAGAATGACAAGTTGACCAGGATGATTGTTGAACGCTCTGGGCATGCAAGCGCAGGGGTGCGCGGAAAAAACTGGAATGTCGTCTTTAGCGTCATATAGCGTGGTCTGAACTAAACCATCAACCCAAATAGAGCAAAACCACCAAGCCAAGAAACAGATATGACTAGCCCATTCGCACTTGGAACCCAGGAGCGCCAAATTGGAGAGGATTGTTGGAGACTTTCATCCTGGACACATCCAACATCTTTTAGAGGCACACAGTATGTTTCAGCTGATTGGATGACTCCCGATCAGGCCCATTCCACTTTGCGCAGCCAATACCCAAAGACTAAGAGATGGCTTCCCTGGCACCTCTCACTCTGTCAGCGTCCCGATCCGTGGGAGTGATCCAGAACGTTGTGGGCAGCGGCTTGCTCAGGCCTGGCACAGATCTTCCTCCAGACATGTGTGTGGGTGAAAAAAAGGCACCCAAAATGGAACCCTGGGAAATAGAAACAGATACTAAAACCTGCGGTCCCCCATACTGATGAAAACGGAAACCTCCAATCTTGAAATGCACAGGTATTGGGCTCCGGCTGTCCAGGAAGGCCACCCACTCTCCCTCCTGCGCTTTCTCAAATCAAGACTTCACACGCCAGATGTTGAAGGCGTCTCACTTCTTGAGTAGATTGGCCACAGAAAGAGTAGCTTCATGTTTTTCAGAATGTGTATGCAAGCTAACCAAACGGCACCACACAAGCACGCGATAACTCTTTTATCCGAGCAATGTGTTGGTGCCAGGGACTCATCTTCCCCTGTCAGATGTCAAAGGCTGGGTGGGCCCCATGGGCCACCCAACTCACAATCTCAAAAACTGAAGAACGGGTGTGCAGACTGATAGCGCCCGCCCCTGAGCCGGGGCCCGGGGCACCCAGGCCACAGGGGGGTCTGCCACCAGGGGAAGTGAGTCACCCACCGGCTCCGGTCACGGGAGCATGGGTGGGCCCACGCTAAGATCAAATGCATCTCCATTCAGGAGACGCGGGAGAAAAACGAACTCCTCGCAGAGTTCCTGTTTGGGGACCCTGTGCAAAGGGTCGAACCGAGAGAAATCTGGGTGCGTCAGTTCATCAGCCCATTGGTTGAATTCCCAGGGCACGTGGTTGGCCGCCAGCGAGCAGCCATGGGTGTGGAGCAGGAAGACCAGCTCCATCAGGATCGCCGCGGTGTAGGGCTTCTTGGATCCAAGGTTGAGCATCGCCATGACGTTGCCCTGACTGTCACTGCCCACCGGGAGTCGGACCCGGGAGGACAGAGGGCCTTGGTGCGTGAGGATCATGTTACAGAGGAAGATTTCCAAAGCCGCAATCCTCCGCTTGGGATCCCCATTCTTGAATGCCCAAGGGTACTCCTCCACGTGGATCTGCTCGTGGAACCAGTACACCTCCTTCTTTTCCGGCTCCACTTTGTTGGAGCACCAACCTCCCACAAATGCCAGTCCTTCGTCCGAGGCGCTAGCATCGCTGCAACCCCACCAAGAGGACTTCGGCAAGTAAGGGGAGTACTGGACGAAGGGCGTGTTGAAGAGGAACCGCAGCATGAACGCCAGCATCCTGACCACCTTGGGGGGTTTCCCCACCGTGGTGGTGGCCATCTTCCAGGCCCAAAGTGGCTGGAGCATCGACTTCGCCAGCGGACATGCAGCAGTCGCCCATTGGATGCGGCCCAGGGCCTTCTCGATGTCCTTTGAGTGCATCGCCTGCCCTTCCACCATGGTCTGCAAAACCTCCATCACCAGGATGTGTTTGTTGGCGGCCATGAGAACCTGCGGGATGTTCGGGTGGACCACGAAGCCCAGCCACGTGCTCCGCCAAATGTGTCTTCTTCCAGCTAAGCGGGGTGCCCAAGGCCAGGAGTGTTGCCAACAGCGCCACCGCCAAGTTTACTGCCCCCTCGCTTCGAAGCAGCCACAGGAAGTCATCCACAAAGAGGGAAAAGTGCGTAGAGGACCCTGAGTAGAAGGGCTGCCAGGCGTCCCCAGTAGGATTGGGCACTGGCCATGCCATATGTGCCTACCTTGTTCACCCACCATTCTTCCCCCAGTGAAGCCACCTGGAACCGCCAGTCCTTCCTGAGGACCTTCACTCTCCGGTGGGCCTTGGTGACGTCCGCCTTGAGCAGCACCCCGGCTCCGGCCATAGCCAGCCCCCAGGTGGAGGTTTGACGACCTCCCTCTCGGGGCCAGGGGCACCCTGAGAGGGGGGTCCCTCCGCAGCTGCCGCATGTAGCCAATGAAGAGCTTGTACCCCATCCAGCACCGTCGGAGCCGTCGTCCTTTCCACCGTCTGGCTCCTGATGGTGTCATTGGCCCCGCCCACCGAGCCATCGTAGATGGTGCGGATCTTGTCCCCTTCGTCGATGCCCGCTAGGGGGCCGGGACAAAGGTCCTCAATTTCGCAGCCACAGCGCGATGCTGCCTCCACCTTGGTGAAGGGGCCCTCTACCATGCCCATGGGGACCTCCTCCAGGAATGTGCCCCGGATGAGCTCGCTGAAGTGATCCGCCGAAGGGTAGTTACCCCGGCCCGTGGGGTGAGGGAGTTCCTGGAACTCCGGCTCCTCCCCTTTCAGCTCCTTCTTGAGTGGCCAGATGCCCGGCGAGGCCAGGGGTGGGTCCGTGAAATTCAGTGGGACCCCTTGCTCCAGATCCCGAGGAAACTGGTGGTCGGGGTCCTGAATGTTCAGCGCCACGCTGTGCAAGATGTCCAGGAAGAAGGGTTGGCCTTCAGCTGGTCGGCCTGCCCCCGGCGCCAGAATCTCCCTGATATCCTCCAGCAGGTCCTCCGGGAAGGGATGTGACCCGTCCCCCAACGAGAGCGACTCCTGAAGCTTGTCCCCCATGGCAAAGTGAGGACACAGATCTTGGCCCCCATCGCTGCTGCTTTGGACAGTGGCCGAGTCCATGGGGCCAGCTGTCCCAATGAGGGCTTTCCCCCCCCGTCCCTTAGGGGGCGCTGTTTGAAGGCCATCTGGAGGTACATGACCTTGTCAGAGAGATTTGGGTCGTGCGTGATCGGCAGGATGGTGGGCCGATCCGAGATTTCCATGCAATGGCGCGCCCATGGCTCAGGGGAAAGAGTTCCCCCCCGAAGTTCGTCCGTCTCGCCAGCCCTCTGTGTCGGTGTCCGGACCTCCAGATTGTCCGAGGCCGAGACCGGAAGTGAGCCCAAGGTTAGTCCCCTTCAGCCTCCGGGACTGGCGCTTGTTGTCCCCCGGCGTGCTGGGAGAAGGTTCCCTCTGCCGCCTCGGGGGGGTCGTTGGGTTCGCCTGGGGCAACGTGCCCCCCGGCCTCAGCGCCTCCAGGACGGGTCCCGCTCTGCAAAGGATGGCCGCTGCGAGACCCTGCATCATCTGCTCTGGGTACCGGCTGAGGTCACTGGAGTTGAGCTTTTCCCCCCTGGGGTGAGCTCCGTGGTTGCATCGCAGATCATGCCAATGGTGAAGGGGAAGGTCCGTTGACAATGTCGTGGACTTCACTACCACCTGGCCCAGGCGGCACTCGTCAAACTTGATGAGGGAGTGGTGGAGTGCGTTCGCCCATTGAATGTAGGCCCGTGTGACCCAGATCGACGAGCACCTCGCTGCGCTCGGGCTCTTGCTGCACTCCATTGGGTCCATTGGGTGCTCCAAGAAGGAGGAGCCCACCTGCGGGACCGTTAGCTGACCTAGCCCCTTGTAGGCCAGCGAGGTCAGGTACATCTGTCGGAGCATGAGCACGCTGTCGTTGTCCGTGTCCTCCATAACCCGGGGCTCCAGGTCCTCTAAGCCCCACAGGGTCTGCTCCGCTCTTTGGGGAACCATCTGAGAATGCTCCACGTCCTGCAGTTGGGGCCGCCCCCCACAAAGGCGACCTTGCCCGCCATGGCCATGGAGCACATCGTAGAGTAAGGCTCATCTCCCAGCATGTCCTGTCCAAGATCTCCACCCTTTCGCCTGATGTCCACCGCCCAAATGTACTCCGAGAAGGCCGGGTTGTAGGCATGGAGGTAAGCATCCAGGGCCCCCGCATCATCCTTCCCAGCGTACAGCAGGATGAGGGACGGCTTTGACGACTCCGGCACCGGACGTGGCGTCCACCTTAGTCTGAGCCTCAGTCTTTCCGGGGTGTCCTGCCCATGGAAGGTGGGGCTTGCCCCTCCTGGGATTCCGTGTGTCCTTTGTCTGACCCTCCAGTCATCTGTCCCTGGGCTTGCTGCTTGCCCTGGCGGTTCTTCCCGCCCTTGGAACGCCCCTTGCCGGGCGGATCCTCACCTCTGGGTCTCTCTGGGGGGTCTTCCCACTGCCTCGGTGGGTGCGGGGGAAAGGGGTGCTGGGTCCGCTCCTCTTCCTCGGTGGAGGGGCTTCCGGGGCCGGTGGCACCCTGGAGAAGTCCCCTCCCACCTGAGGCCGCCCTGGCCTCCCCGCTCTGTCTGCCTTCCGCTGTGGCTCTGGTGGGGTTGGCTCTCCCCCGCTGTGTGCACTCTCGCACTGGTGGCCTGTGATCCCAACGGAGACCAGGAAGCCACGGGGCCTATGGCACCCTGAGTGGCCTCCTGTCACTTGGGAAGGTGTGGGCATGCCTGTGGCACATGCTTCGATGGGGGGGCATCGCACACCCACCCATCCTTCCTGGCCGGGCAGTTGTGGGATCGGCCGCATGATCCCGAACACTTGTTGTGAAGGTGGTGATCTCTGCAGTACGCCACCCCTTTGGGATTCTTGAAAGCCCAGTGGTCCGGCCATGGAATCGAGGGGGTGTTGGGGGACTTCCCCTTGCCGCCCTTGCCCTTCGGCTTGGACCGGGTCGGCCCCGAGGGCCAGGAACCTTTCCCCCCATTCTTGGGCTTCCCCACTGAGTCTGCCACACCTTGGGCGCCTTGCTCTTGCTCTTCCCCTTCTCCGGCGCCCTGTTGAGGTGCTCATAGACCTCCCGTTGCCAGAAGAGGAAGTCGCCCCTGATGTTCTTGAGGGCTTCGGAGAGAGTGGTGCCCTGGTGCACCATCTCGTGGCTGCTGCGAACAGCAAGGTGGTGTCGCTCGGGGGAGGCTTCCTGCCGGCGATGTCTTCCCCATAGAACCAGGCATACCAATCATCCAACTCCTCCTTGGTGACCCTCAGGTTGGCAAACTGTGGCAGTGCTGCCGTGCACATCAGGAGCGTCGTCCTGAAGGTTAGGTGCAATCGTTCCAGCTGGCGCCGAGATGTAGGGTGGCTCCTCACCTCTTCTTCATCCTCCCTGTCCCAGCCGTCCACCGTGATCTTCTTGTGGGTGGATGAGGGGCGTTCCCCCTCTTCCGGGAGCGCGCTCACGATATGTTTTGCCGGGATGTAGCCCAGCTCACCCTTGGCAATCATGCGCCATTGCTTCTTGAGGTAGCCATCACTCCCTTGGAACTCCAACCTCGGCTTCGGGGTCCCATGCATGGCCACATAAGCATCTTCCAGCTGGCGCCTGTCACACAGGACCTCCAAGGGCGCCTTTGTCGGGCCCGCCTGGCCCGCCGGGTGATCACCTTGGTTGCCCCCCCGGACCAAGTTGGCTGCCACCCGAACTGCCTGAAGGAGGCGCATCGCCGTGAAGGCCGAG